CCCCAGGTGCTGTTACTTGGCGCTGCGCCTCAATTGCATGGGGAAACAGCTTCCTGGATGGGTTATAATGACACAAATTGGCGTGGAAGTTTTATTGGCAGTGAACCCAGATTGGGATTGAGAAAGTGTTCAAACATGGGTAGTTGTAGCTCCCAAGGGCAGTGAACAGAGGATATGAAGACGTCTGTGCACGGTGTCTTACTACTTAAGGGTCTTATGTACAACACGTGTATAGTGACAACACAACTATACAGGATAAGACTTCTTGCCAGTCCTTAAGTACACGGTCTACTACGACTTTTCTAGTTTTCGTGGTAGATAATGTGTGAGTTCTTGGGAGGGTTTTACTGACGTGTCCTCTTCTTGTTGTTCTCTGGGTGGAATACTCGTAGATTCCCTATTGTTTCTGATGGAAAGATCTGTTTCAATCTCGTAGGTCATGTCTCAACCTATGAAAGTCTGTCTCAACTTGTCATGTTCTCGTGTCTCCCTTCCTGAAAAAAGAGAGAGGTCTGTCTTAAAATATGTGAAGCCTAGTTAGAAAGCTGTTCTGGTGTTGTATACTCAACCCCTGTAAGGTAGTACACAACAAGTAATGAAGTCTGTCTTAAATACGTAAAGCCTAGTACGAAAGCTATTCTGGTGTTGTATACTCAGCCCCTGAAAGGTAGCACACAACAAGTAGTTTATAAATAGATTGTTATATAAGCGACCCCTGTAAGGTAGTATACAACTAATCTCTGATACGATGTTTATCTTACTTCAAGGCACTCTTGGCCTGCACTTTAAGTCTTACGGACTCTCACGGTTTGAGAGAAGAGTGAAAAGTGGGAAGTTATTATTACTCAGTGTAGAATGGGCTCCTTTTATACCTTTTTGGGAGGCCATTTACTAAGCATGACTCATCACAGCATTAGTAAGTCACTGGCTTACTAACCATGTCATTTGGCAGTGCTGAATCAGCTGCTTACAAAGTAGTTTACAAGTAAAGTTCAGAATATTACAAAGCATGACCAATCATGACAAATCCTTACAAATCAGATTATTGCCTATCACATGACATGCTTACAAACACATCTGGTGGCTCACTGAAGGATTCTGTGGCTGAATGAGCCTGAAACAAATAGAAACAAATGGAAACAAATGGAAGCCACATGATGAATCATGCAGGATCCTTCTAAAGCAGAATATTGCCTATCACATGACATGCTTACTAACACATCTTGGTGGCTCACTGGTGGCTGAATAAACCACACAAAAGAAATGAAATGAAAAGGTGAAAGGTGAAAGGTGAAAACTATCATACTGGAAATATAAATACAAGTAAATCTGTCAAAATGGAACCAATCATAATAATAAAATGAGGTATACCTTAGTGCACTCTCTGTGGCTACTTCTGTCTATCAATGTCATGGTATGAGTTCCATACCATGCATCACACCGTGATGAATTTGAAGATGAAAAAAAAACCTGCATGATCATATATTTGTTGTCATGTGTTCTGTATCAGTTGCTCTAACAAACTGTCCCTAAGACAGAACAGAGGGCGTTGGTGTCACTAGGGATGGTCTGTTCAACTGAAATGTATTAGATGGACCATCCAAAGTCCATCATAATGTCAAGTGCGGTGGTTTGGAACTCATGTGCATGTTAAGTATTATCTCAACTAGTAAGGACAGTCTGTATATTGAAGTGCATGCATACCCAGTCACATCCAAAACTCATAATGTTTCGACGGAGCTTAGAGCATGTGATGTTAGATCCGAAGGTGCTCCAAGGTAACACGACGTACTTTTTGATGATACCATTGATCCATTCAACATCCTCCATTCTGACATCAACCAATTTGTGTCTGTGTCCTCTATTGTGCTTGACCACAAGGATATTACCTGTGATCTCCTGGATATCACTCGGGAGAGAAGCCACTTGACAGATCAACCTGTTTGGTGATCCATGCACAGCAGGCTCTTCCCGAAAGAAAGTGTAACCATATTCTATAGGTTGCTGTGATGGACCTACAGCCACATTGAATGTCTTACGCATGTGTGATGTAGCCACAACAAATCTGTCACGGCGTCCAAGGCAGTCCACCCAGTGCTGGACTTCAAGTTGGCTTAAATGTGTGAGACACAGGATGCCCGCTCGCAGGGGTACAGATACAAGGTGAGGTGTCATGGCTCTGGTGGCATACAGGATACCTGTATATCTAACACTGTAGTGCTGTGCAAATCCAATGTCAGTTATGTAACACAAGACTGGAGGAACATGCTCACCGGAAAGTGACTGTTGATCTGCCCCTCCTCAACTTGCATGCCAGCCAGATCTGCTGGCATGTGTGCCGGAGGCACACAAGTCAGAGCCTTGTTAATGGTGGGATTCAAAGGACACATGTCATTTTGGCAGTGAATTGCTAGGGTGCCACATGGTGCATGATCGTGCAAGCAAGCCTCCGATACCGTACCTACTGTCCCCACTCCAGGACAAGAGATTCTCTAGCAACATTTCCCACATAGTGCCATGCTGCAGGACATAGGTCACCACAAGCATCGTTAACAAAGCAGGTTGCAGTCATGGATGATGAATTTGTGGTGTTCAAAGCTTCCTACATTTCATCCAGGCTGACGTCGTGTCAGTGCGTGGTTTGTCATGGTGATCCTGGCGAGCGTCCAAGATGAGTAGAACATTGTGAGACCACCAGGGTGTCAATATTGTCCATGTCTGCGGTGGTGGGTGAAGATGCGATGACTCTGAACATACCCTCCCAAGTGGCCTGGGTGATGGGTGATGACCCTCTCCTCCCGTTGATACCCTCACAAACTGACCTACAGTGCTGTTGAATGCATAATTGTGGTGGGGCATTCAGCTAGACACAGTGATACTGAAGGGTATCCAGAACAAACTCCTCCAACTGCTCAAAACCCACTTCTGCCACAATGAAGTGTAGATCTTTGGGCGTGTAATCCTGGTTCAGCAACATTGCAAGTGCACATGGCCCCGTAATAACAGCATGAGATGCATGCATGATGTCACTTATCTCTGGGATGTGGTGGTCGACAAATGGACGCAGTATCTGTGCAACCAATTGGTGATGATGGACTGACTCATGGCCCGTGTTTGATGGCTGGTGGAACTCTACGCCATCACATCTCTAAGCAATGAGAGCAGTTTGTAGACCTTTCTTACAAGTTCCAGCGGTCCACAAGACTACCAACTGATCTGCCGTCAGCGTGTTTCTGACTGGATGTGATTGCAGCTCACATGTTGTCACCACCCTGTCTTGCGGGGTATATGTGCACAACATGTCACAATGACTTGAGGACTAGTAACTGGGCTGGTTTGTCTTGTATGATGGCAGGGGATTGCCCCCAACAGGGGCGGCTGA